TTTTTGGTATAGTTCAAACCTTATTGTACACCATCGGCCTGTACAGAACTACAAATCTAAAGGTAGTATGCCTTTGTGAGAGGGTGATTTTACCGGCCTATATGTCGTCCCTCCCTGCTACCTCCTGACATTCTGCTGATGTCTAGAACCCAATCCTCCTCTCCCTAATATTCTCTTTTAATAGTTTGGCCCTATTTTTCAGGCCTACCAATTGGTTTTGACACACCACAACCGACTTACTGTTACTGGTATAGCTCAAACCTTGTAGTATGCCCTCTGCCTTTGTCCCACGGCACAAATATCTATACATACATGTATTTAAAGAATAAAAGGAAAGGATATTTTTGCTGATATTAAATTAACAAATTTAACAACAAAATATATTAGTGATGCTTTAATATTATTTTTATTCTTAACATACCTTATTTTTTGGAAGACACACTGGAACATAAGATGTACCCATATTCTTTGACTATAAATTTAAGAAAAATAAATAAAACAACCTGCTTAATAATTACAGCAAACTTTAATTTATGTATGTGACGGACCCACTGGCACTCCAACCAAGTACCTCCGCCAATCAATGCTCCTAGTGCTTGCCACGGACTCCAAGCATTCCAGCCGACACCATAAGCACTGCAGACTTATCCCATCCCCCAAGCATGAGCCAAGGCTTCAAGAAAGGGTCAAGCAGGTCTGTTTAATGAGCACACAAAAGCAACAGCACTCATGCAGCAAAATAACACCTCCTCAGAGGAAAACATGACAGTTAAGTTCAGTCAGTGTTTGAATATATGACAGTTATTGGAAGTTGCAGAACTGTGCCAGTACCATTTAAAGGGCCAGAATAGTCTTTTAAAACACCAATAAGTCCAAATGGTGTTACTAACTGGCAAAATCTTCCAGGGACCATAGTCATATGGCAAGAGGCTGGTAATAAGTCCTCTCCAGGCACAAGTAGCGAAGGGCACTTCGTCACACATCTTCCCATTGGGGGGAGACTAACTAGGTACCTGACCTTCTGTCGGTAAGTACCTGAGTTAGTTGAGTAGCCCACCCACAACAAACAGTTAACAAAGTAGCCCACCCACAATACACCTCAGCTTACCAACGTTCAGGGTCTCCTTATTTACTTACATCTGCTGATGGTCCTACATTCTCACCGACACTCACAACGGCTGTGGAGGGAGGTAGGTAACGCTGGCAACTGGGTGGGGGGCCTGGAACCATGGTGAGACAGGCTGTCGTGCAATATATAAGATGACCACATAAATGCCCCACAAATACACCTCCCCACCAATGTGCCCATACTGTAATAGTTGCCACTAGTACTATGCCCACAGACACCAGGCTTCCTGATAGCTAGAGGACCCAATATTACCCTTTACTACGTTGATTGACCTTATTGGGATGCACTTTACAGGCCCAACTGCCGGACTTAATTGTTTTGTTGACTTCCCGGGACACTTATGACATAGGGGAGCGGGAGGTAGGGCCGACTTAGTTTACTGGGGGGAACCGGAAATCAAGCAGACTGTATGTGAGTGAGCGGAGGGGGCTGTTGGGCGGGGGGAGGGGACGATAAGATGATGGGGTGACCAGAGAGGAGGGAGGGCCAGGTCACTGTGGTGTGCTGGGGCCGGGATTGAGGGGGTGGAGGCGGGGAGCGCCACGGCGCATTATCATTGTTCACATGACATAACTGCATTTATTTGGTTGTACTGTTGCACATCAGCTGTTAATAGGATATAACTGCACCCTTATTGTTATACTGTTACTTTTGCATGCTAAAAGTTGGAATGGATCACTCTAAATTGACTATTGGTATTATGCGATGAAAGGGGTCGGGGTGTAGGGGCTTTCCCAAACACTTACAAACTTTTATACACTTGGCCGGTGCCGAGCCACACACCTCAACCCATACTCGTGCTTACCCCTACACGGCTGAACCCTGGGGAGTCCTGTTACCTGGTCTGGTTACCAGGACAGGGCCTCGGAGTTTCTAGCCATAGCACGAGTCACCTCCCTTGTGGAGGTTGTTCTTCTGAGAACCAGGGTACTTTGCAGTCCTGGGGCTGCTATTTTGCCTCTGAGCCACCATATCAGCTCGAGATATAGCCAGAAGTCTATCTTGCCTTGTACCCAGCACTGGGGGCTGGACATAATTCTGTGGCTGCTCCAACAATCTCAGCACACCTGTGGCTGATCACCAATTAGCCAGGTATAAGACACTACCTCTCCCTGAGAGTTCATTGACTCTGGTTCCCTTGTTTGGTTCCTGTCTCTTCGTATCAGCATTCCAGTGTTTCCTGTCTGATTCCGGCTTCTGACCTTGGCTTTCCTTCTGAACTACTCTGATCTCCGGCTTTCCCTGATTTTGGCTTTCCTTGACTACGCTTCTGCTAATCCCTGCTGTACTGCTACTTGGTGCACTATTCCTGGAAAGCCCCCGTGCACAGACTCACAGGCCAGGTGAGTTCTTCCCTGACCACCTTGGCCTGTGTTTACTTGCAAGGGTGAGCACATATATCTGCGCTACAGACTCCCATTCAGGTAAGCTATTATAGAATGAACTGACCAATATGGAGTCAGCAGAGATATGTAGGCTGTTCACCTCCCTTGCTCAGCAAGTATCAAGCCTGACTCAGACTGTATCGGTTCTGCAGCAAGAAGTTTTATTTCTTAAAGGCACAGTACGCCCAGCCCCGGAACCTGCTTATCCAGAGCCGTTTGTTGTGATGCCTGACAGATTTGATGGTTCCCGTTCCTTCTACACAGCATTCAGACTGGATTGTGAACTCCTTTTTGCCCTTAAGCCTAAGACCTACAACAGCGACTTTGTCAAGGTCCGTTCTGCCATCAACTTACTTTATGGACGGATTAAGGAGTGGGTATACCAGAAGCTGCAGGAAAAAAGCACTGTCTTGGACAGCTGGGAGTCATTCATGAGCGCAATGGACTCTCAGTGTATTACCTTCAGGAAAGCTACTCCCAAGCCTGCTCCATATACCCTCTGTTACCTAAAGAAAAGGACTCCTACCAAGTCCCCATCATGTTGCAGCGTGAATCAACCTTCAGGGACCCGCCTTGTAACCCTGTTTATACTCAAGCTAGCCGTGAAACTCCAGTGGACATGGAGGAACCCATGGAGATCGGATTTACCAGAACTAGATTGCCTCCTAAGGAAAAAGACCGCAGGAGAGCACATGGTCTATGTCTATACTGTGGGAAAAGAGGGCATTTCATCTCTCTGCCCAACTCGTCCACTTAGGCCAAGATCCCTTCTATCTGGTACCATATAGACTTATCCTGTCATCGCGGCAAGCCAGCCTGGAAATTGCCAGCCCTGTCCCCGTCCTGTGACACAAAAGGGTACTCAGACTATGGCAAATATCACACCCAGTACACCTGATGAGTCTGCACCACCTCCAGAAGACTCTCCTGTTAAAACTGGTACCATCACCACTTCCTGCCTGCCCAAAGGAGAACTACCTGCGGATTGCACCTATGGTAACAAGGTCAACAGAACAGATCTGGAAACGTTTGAAAGGGCTTTGAAAGCCGTGAACTCTGCACCTGGTGATGCACCAAAGGAAAAAAGTTCAGAGAAAATGACTCCTGGGATCAAGGTACTTACCGCCTGCACCAAATCCATGAATAACCTTGACCTCTTTCCATTAGTACCCGAAACTGGTACCATAAAGTCCCAGGCTGAGACTTTGATTACAAAGACTATCTTAGTGATACTGAGACCGAAGATGAGGAGTACTATTTCCAATAAGAACCTGTTCAAGCCCGGAGGGCGTTCTTGAAGGGAGGGTACTGTCACTGTACTAGCCGCAACATCCAGTCTGCCAGACGAGGTCGCCCCAGGAGTGCCCAGCAGGGGATTTGAACCAGGGTACTTTGCAGTCCTGTGGCTCTGAGCCACCATATCAGCTCAGGATATAGCCAGAAATCTATCTTGCCTTGTACCCAGCACTGGGGGCTGGACGTTATTCTGTGGCTGCTCCAACAATTTCACCACACCTGTGGCTGATCACCAATTAGCCAGGTATAAGACGCTGCCTCTCCCTGAGGGCAGTGTCAGTTCATTGACTCTGGTTCCCTTGTTTGGTTCCTGTCTCTTCATATCAGCGTTCCAGTGTTTCCTGTCTGATTCCGGCTTCTGACCTTGGCTTTCCTCCTGGACTACTCTGATCTCTGGCTTCCCCTGATTTTGGCTTTCCTTGACTACGCTTCTGCTAATCCTTGCTGTACTGCTACTTGGAGCACTATTCCTGGAAAGCCCCTGTGCACAGACTCACAGGCCAGGTGAGTTCTTCCCTGACCACCTTGACCTGTGTTTACTTGCAAGGGTGAGCACATATATCTGCGCTACAGACTCCCATTCAGGTAAGCCATTATACCAAGTACCTAATAAAAGACAAGCTCAGTTTCTTAGGGGAACGTTAAACAAACTAAACGGCTTCTCCGAGGGACTTCAATGAATCACTGGACCCCGTCATGGACTCCTCAACGGGACACAGTAGCATCTCGCAACTCAACATACGCTCCATGAAGAGATCATTGGGGGATATAGACCTGGTGGATTGCTGGAGGACCCTACACCCCTCCACTAAAGACTTTACGTATTATTCGGCATTACATGATCAATACTCACGCATCGATTATATCTTCATCCGCCAAATAGGCCTCCAACGGATCATGGCTCGTTCATTGTAGAACTTGAATCGCCTCTCTTTCGGCCCTCCACGTGGTCATGGAGGCTAAATTAAGCCCTCCTGAGACGCGAGCACAGATTACCCAAGCATTGGAACAGTACTTTCAGGATAATGACGTGCCGGATACTTCTCCGGTCTCAATATGGGAAGGCCACAAGAGTGTCATCAGGGGCACACTTCTCCAAATAGCCTCCCGAAAGAAAAAAACAGCAGCAGCGCGTGAAATGGCAGATCTTTACAAATCTATTTCGGACCTGGAACAACAACACAAACGATTCCCACCTGATGGAGACGTACGGGGAACTCATGCAGGCCAGGCAACAACTGAAAGATCTCGTCACGAAACGCTACCTCAGATCCCTACAACATTCCAAGGGGTTCTTCTATGCTCATGCCAACAAGGGAGGGAAATACCTGGCGCGTCTCTTGAAAGGAAATGCCCCCCGCACGCAGGTCCGCAACTTACGCCCCTCGTCAGGCACCACGACGACCTTCCCGAACGAGATAGCGGGAGAATTCAGGAAATACTACCACTCGCTTTATAATATACATGTAACTGATGGAAATGACGACTCAGACATGGAGGAGGCCTGGACGCGTGGACTACCTACAAGAGTCTATCACGAGGACGATCAGCCCGGATAAGGCAGAGATGCTGGACACCCTAATTTCTATGGAGGAGCTCCTGGCAGCCCTGAAGTCAGCCAAAATGGGTATGTGGCGAAACCAACCTCGCCACTGTGAACTGGAGAAGCCTGGTCGCTCGCCTGCTCCCTTTGGACTATGGCCCTGCAGGTTAAACCGTTTATTTCCCCTGCAGAAAGGCTTATTTGTGTGATCTGAGTGCCATTCATCTAATAATGTGCACTCAGATCCCAGCTATCTGGGGATATGTGAAATGTCTGTGTGTTATGTGTAAATGTGACTTTATGTATTTTAAAGTGTTTTGTGTCTTTTTGCAACCATGTGCTTAATGGAGTCTTGTGTCTGTCCTGGGAGATAATTGAATTACTTATCTCCAGGATAGAAGACTCTGAAACTGGTTTGGGCCAGAAAGCCATGCTTCATTTAGTCACAAAGGACTTTTTACTAACTTTTGAACCCCTTGTCTGATTTGTGCCATTTTTGAATATGTTGTTCCCCTGAATGGATTGATTGTGAATATGTAATTTTATGTGAATGTGATGTATGGTTTTGGAGTTATGAAAGTTGGGTAGAAAGTATGTTTTAACTGTATGTATAATTGAGTTTCCTCTCAAGATAAGGGGAGGGAATATGTGGGATGTAACTGTGATGTGATTGGTTGTTTTGTAACGCCCTGTGGGCTGTACTATGTTTGTGGATTGGGAATAAAAGAGACTGTATGTGACAGTACAGGAAGTTCCTGTTTTAACCCTCAAAGTGAAGTGTCGTCTCATTATTGGGGGAAGGATTTATTGTATGCTGTTCCAGTTTGACTGCTAGGAGAGTAAACCTATTCGTATGGTTCCTATTCAACTGTCTACAGCATTCATATGCTTGAGAGAATTCATATGCTTCTCCGGTTCGGTGATTGTGGTGTCTGCTGCAGTGCTTGGAGTCCTCAGGAAGCGCTAGGAGCATCCTTTCAACGGAGGTACCCAGTCGGGGTGCCAGGCGATCCGTTACATTGGTGGCAAGCGGTGGGATGGCGTCCTAGTGCGAGGTAAAGCAGCTCAGAGACACAGTTCGTTTGGATTTACAAATTGAAGGCGACGCTAGTGTTTATACAGCGTCCCTGTCTACATAAAGATTTGGGAAAATGGGGTTCGTGGATCCTTGGGCACCTCGCACACCTGAGGAAGAGGGTGAATTGGACTGGAGAGATATTGCCCGGCAAGAACTATGGTACAATGCCCTGGAGGAAGTCCAGTATCAACGGCAGCAGCGCCTTCCTGGTGTCGCATACCGGTTGGAGGAACAAATGGCCTGGCGGATGCCGCTTCTGGGAGACCAACCCGGAGGGCAGCAGGTCAGACAACTTGAGTACCTCGTGGAAAGGGAACTGAGCCTTGACGCCTCATACCGGGCACTGTGGTGGTGCACTGTCCAGCCAGAGACATGGAGGGCAGAGGGCATCCAGCCGGAGGGGGAGAACTACACTAGCCCTGGCCTGTTGTGGAAGGCCTTAGCAGAAGACGTCGACTTTGGCAGTCCAGCAGAGTCACGGTACTGGGCTATTTTTTATTACCGGGGTGAGATGGTACAGGGCCCGAGATCTATGGGACTGGGACAAGACCTCCACCGTTTGGCTGCCATGGAACGACAGCTAGAGATGGACTATGTGGAACTACTAAACTCATGTCAGCCACAGGGCATAGACACAGAACAGGAAAACTGGCTGGGAGACCCAGACCTGCCAACCTACAGCTGGGAAAACGCAGCCGAGGTACCCCCTGCTTCACTACCAGCGGCAGAAGTAGGGGACCTCATAGACTGGTCCTGGGAAGACCCACAGATGGCAGGTGGAGATGGGATGGCGGTCTCTCTACCGGCCCTACAGGGATGCTGGGCGGTCGGCCCAGATCTCCAGCGGCAGTGTGTACCCCAGCGGGAGCAGAAGGTGCAGTCCTTCCTCCCCAGCGGCAGTGTGTCCTGCAGGAAGCGGAGACAGTCGGTCTCACTCCCCAGCAGCAGGGCAATATATTAAAAGGGGAGACAGTTGGTCCCCCTCTCCAACAGCAGAGAGAGTGTCAGGGAGAGGAGCTTGTTATCCCCTCTCCCCAGCGGCTGAAAGTATGTATGGGAGAGGAGCTTGTTACCCCCCCTCCCCAGCGGCAGCGTGTACCCCAGGGAGATGAAGGTGCCGTCCTTCCTCCCCAGCGGCAGTGTGTACCCCAGGAAGCAGAGACCATCTGTCTCGCACCCCAGCCGCAGGACAAAATATTGAAAGGGGAGACAGTTGGTCCCTCTCTCCACCAGCAAAGAGAGTGTCAGGGAGAGGAGCAGGTTACCCCCTCTCCCCAGCGGCAGTCTACAGTTCAGAGAGAGGAGCTTGTTACACCCTCTCTCCAGCGGCAGCCTAACCCACCAAGGGGAGATGTTAAGCCCCACAACTATGCAGATGGGACTGTAGTCTCTGCACTTGCAGCCCCAGGGGCAGGGACGGTCGGTCCTGTCCCCCAGCCACAGAGCAGTGTATCCAGAGGGGAGACAGTCGGTCTCTCCCTCCCACAACCAGGCTCCCACCAGGCTACTTCCGTGGTAGCACTGGCATCAGGGCAGAGTACCGCTGGTCTCTGCCGACTCAGCAACCCACCAAGGCAGCCTAACAGTTGCCCACACAGTCGTGGTGAGGCACCTGGACATGGACAAAGTTCTCCTCTACCCAGGTGTAGTAACCAGTTATTGTGGGTGGGCTGTACTGCTGTTTCTGTTTTGTGGGTGGGTTGCTGGACTAACCAGGGCACTGACCGGCAGGAGGTCAGATACCCTGTTAGTCTAGTTGGTAAAGGGGAGAAGTGTGGCGAAACCAACCTCGCCACTGTGAACTGGAGAAGCCTGGTTGCTCGCCTGCTCCCTTTGGACTATGGCCCTGCAGGTTAAACTGTTTATTTCCCCTGCAGAAAGGCTTATTTGTGTGATCTGAGTGCCATTCATCTAATAATGTGCACTCAGATCCCAGCTATCTGGGGATATGTGAAATGTCTGTGTGTTATGTGTAAATGTGACTTTATGTATTTTAAAGTGTTTTGTGTCTTTTTGCAACCATGTGCTTAATGGAGTCTTGTGTCCCTGGGAGATAATTGAATTACTTATCTCCAGGATAGAAGACTCTGAAACTGGTTTGGGCCAGAAAGCCATGCTTCATTTAGTCACAAAGGACTTTTTACTAACTTTTGAACCCCTTGTCTGATTTGTGCCATTTTTTGAATATGTTGTTCCCCTGAATGGATTGATTGTGAATATGTAATTTTATGTGAATGTGATGTATGGTTTTGGAGTTATGAAAGTTGGGTAGAAAGTATGTTTTAACTGTATGTATAATTGAGTTTCCTCTCAAGATAAGGGGAGGGAATATGTGGGATGTAACTGTGATGTGATTGGTTGTTTTGTAACGCCCTGTGGGCTGTACTATGTTTGTGGATTGGGAATAAAAGAGACTGTATGTGACAGTACAGGAAGTTCCTGCTTAACCCTCAAAGTGAAGTGTCGTCTCATTATTGGGGGAAGGATTTATTGTATGCTGTTCCAGTTTGACTGCTAGGAGAGTAAACCTATTCGTATGGTTTCTATTCAACTGTCTACAGCATTCTTATGCTTGAGAGAAGGTATACGCTTCTCTGGTTCGGTGATTGTGGTGTCTGCTGCAGTGCTTGGAGTCCTCAGGAAGCGCTAGGAGCATCTTTCAACGGAGGTACCCAGTCGGGGTGCCAGGCGATCCGTTACAGGGTATAACACTGGGCCCGGACGGCTTCTCCGTGGGGTATTATAAAAAAAATTTCCTCCATATTGCTACCATGGTTCACGAAGGCCATAAATGCAGTCGCTGAAGGGGGGAACTTCGGGGCAGAATCTCAGGCGGCAATAATAACTGTTCTACTGAAGCATGGGAAGAACCCAACGGTATGTGGCAGCTATCGCCCAATCTCCCTGCTGAATGTGGACGCCAAACTGTTCACTAAGGTACTAGCGACTAGGCTCCGGTCCATCCTAACGGCTCTCATACATGTGGACCAAACGGGATTTATACCTGGCCCAGAGGCACGAGATAGTACCCTGAGGGTATTTGCGATACAACATAGAGCGAGGATAACGCGGCAACAACTCCTCCTCCTCTCCACGGATGCCGAAAAGGCATTCGACCGGGTGAGATGGCGATACATGTTTGCAACTCTCTGTAAAATGGGGGTTGGACAAAGACTGCTCACGTGGATCTGGGCGCTATACAACAACCCATGGGGCGTGGTGCGTGTGAACAGGGCACTCACAGCTGAATTTGCGCTCTCCAATGGCACAAGGCAGGGATGCCCACTGGCCCCATTGCTATTTGCCATGTCCCTGGAACCCCTGCTCCAAACTATCAGACAACATCCTGACGTTTGGAGGTATTCCTGGCAAGGGGTGGAAAACAAAGTAGCCGCATACATGGACGATCTTTTATTTTTTTATCACCTTATCCCGAACCACGATGCACCGCCTGATGGAGGCACTTGAACAATTTGGTAAGATATCGGGTTTTAAACTTAACCTATCCAAGTGTGAGGTGCTTAACATCACCATCCCTGATGCAGAATACCGGGCTCTGGACTCCCTATTCCCTTTCCGATGGTGCCCCTGTAAAATGAGAAATCTTGGGATTTGGATCACATCGGATCCGGGAGAGCTTTACCCACAAAACTTCAACCCACTATTGAAGACGATACTGGCGGATCTAGAGAGGTGGGCATACCAACATGTATCGTGGTTCAGAAGGATAGCAGTTCTTAAAATGAACATCCTACCCAGGCTCTTATATTCGTTTCAGACACTCCCACTGGCCATACCCACACACTTTTTCTCCACACTGAGGTCGGCAGTTATCTGCTGTGTTTGGAGGGGGGGGAGACCGAGGCTCCGA